CTACTGCGTCATTTGTGAAAGTGTACTCGTATGCTCTCCCTCTTGATCAAACGCCATGCTATGATTTCAAACCCCTCACCCCAGTGTGAGATAGCCGAACACCATTAACAACTCTGTATGCACTCACAACGAGGCCACTTTTGGGACTACCACCAGTACTCACTAAGTCGCCTCTCCTTTGCCACCAAGATGTTACTCAACACGGTCAAGCGAATGAGGCTAATAAAAGTGGTTGAGCAATTACAGAAGTCAATTTGTACGAGAAGCGTCATAACAAGAGTGCACGATTTGAGTTCCCAGCCACGAGGCAGTCGGTAATCCTCATCACTGCTATAGAGTTCACAGTTGAGCGACATACATGCTCCATGTGTCATGGTTTAACAGCAAGTCTTCTTTGTGCAGGAAAGAAGCCAACCCCTGTCTAGGGGATGCCAGGTACTTTCGCGGCGAATGTCACTGCTTGAAACCTAGCGCAAGTCAATGCATACGTCCAACAGTTGTGGATCTGTGTGTAATATCGCGGCCCAAAACTTGCGTTAATCAAACCAATTTTTTTCCATCACAGCCAACCTTGGTGCGGGGTATTCATCAATGGTCATTCATTTATCCTAACAGCATTTTGACATCTCATATTAGATAGTTCCTTAATAACAAATGCAACACTTTGTCATGCTTGCTCCATTCCTGTCATTCTTCATCCGTTACTTCAGATTCGGAAGGGTTTCATGCCTATGAGTTAGATTTCGGACAAGCTCATGTAATGCAAGTTGTTCACTTTGTTATTTCGCGCCTACTGCCTGTGCACTGCAGTTTGAACACCTACATAATAGTTTATCTTCTCCAAATAGACAGGCGCATCGCTACGGTTAAGTGACTAACTTACTTTAATGTCTGGCTACTATGTATAAGGAATAAGAAACTGTAAATATCGTGGCACTGACTTACTTTTCGCCGTCAAACTCGGTAAAAGTAAAGTAATTTGGCGCAGCACCTTGGCTTCATTTGAAAACAATTATAAGGGCATCAGTAAAATATTTTTTACAACGGGTTGACTCCAGAAGGTGGCTTATTTAGTAGTAAAGTCAATTTTAGCAGTACATCTCCCTATTTGAAGCCAAAAAAGAGGAGTATTTATTTTAGAATGGGATGAGTAGTAAAGTGCCCTCACTGCTCTAGTGATAACTTGCGAAAACGTTTGTAAAAATTGCACAAGGGTAATGACTCGCTCGCGTACGCACTTTATTCTACTCTCCAGGGCATCATGGTGACAAAGGCTGATGTAGAAGGAAAGTGAGGAGTACGGAGTGTTGTTTTACACCTCACTGGTGCTTCACGCGTTGCTCTTTTGAGACATTGTCTCCTTAGGGCCGGTGATATTGTTAATAGCCTTGGCAACAAATGCTGAGCGGGAGGTGGAACCAGTTAATTTCGGCCTTCTGTCTACCATTCCCTTGGTTCTGGAATTTATTTCCTTATAAATTATTCTGGTTCTCCTCAGTGCATATGTGAGGCAGCTCACCGTTATTTAATTCTACTTTTGTGGTGCCACATATTTATTTGGAGTCCATGGCGTCAAATGCTTCTTCCTGAAGCAAGATGGGATTAGCGGAGCTTGTTTTTCACCCCGCCATTTTTAATGTGTGTAGTCATTTTGCTTGAACTCCCTCCTTCTCAGTTGATGCGTAAAGCAGTGCATCCTTTACGCATGTGGCAGTAAAGTGCGTATTCTGAGATATTTCTTTCAGCCGTTTAGTCTAGATTTCACACTGCTTTCTTACATCAGTACTTTATTTTTGATTCGGAGACGTGGTTTGTTTGGCCGGACGTAAATTCTTCTATGCCTCCGAGGCAATGGCGTTTGACTGCTAAGCGAAAGATAAAACTGTGGAAGTTCTCTATTCAATCCCTTCACTGCCACAACTGAGAGGCATGTGTAAGGCAGTTCCCCTGCGAATCCTAGGGGCAACGTCTTGGTAGGTTATCCAAAAGTGGAGACGGGAGCTGCTTTTTGCAGCCTTGTCCTTGTTAAATTCCCTTAACATAAGGAACTGCTTGTCCGTAATACTAGTCTATCACTATAAGTGTTTTTTGTAGATACTGCCACAAAACCAACCCCTCTTGTAGGCCGAATTATTGCCGTGATGCGTCGTGGCTGTGTGTGAATGAATCCAGTGACCTTGTTGAATTACTTTGCTATTATTTTCAAAGGCGTTAGTTCATCTGCACTGAACGTGGCGTCGTACTTTAAGGAGTCAGGGACTGCTGTTGTCTACCATATTGGGCAGAC